TTAACCAACTTATAGTTATTAGTTATGAGCTGTTTTAAGTCAAACTAAATAGAGCCATTACTTTGCAATTTTTTTTTTTAAATTATCATATGAATAAAGAATATGATAAGAAGGAAATATTTTTTATAAATTTTTTATATAATTTTATAAATTTAATTAATAACTATCTTCTTTTACTCTATAAAACTTAAAATATTATATAAATTCACCCACACGAGATAGGTTGTCCATATTTCTTCACTCTATGACTAATAATTACTTACGCAACTATGTATTTTGATTCAGTCAAACGAAGTAGGTGCGGAAGGCCCATCAGTATCACACCGCGCAATACCAAAACAAGAGTGGAAGGGGAATTATTCAAGCAAGAGCGCAATTTCTTACATACAGTCAACATGGGACGCCACAGATAATACATTTTCTCCGCTACCTGCACAATTCATGCCAGAGTCTTTTTCCTCCCACTTGCTGCCAACCCTCCCTTCAAAATTATACCATGTCGACCCGTCTCTCCTCCAAGAATTAGATTTGTCCAATACTAATATCAAGACTTTACCAGAATCTCTTCCCAATTTGGTTGCACTTCAGAAACTCATTCTGAAATGCTGTGATCTTTTCATGGAATTATCCCCTCAAGTTGGAGAACTACCAAATCTCGAGGAGCTTGATCTCAATGACACTGAAATTCTGGGTCTGCCACAAGAGATAAGGAAGTTGTCCAAATTAAAATATTTGAGAGTAGCATTTTATGGATATATGAACTGCGGAAAGAGATTGAGGCAAAATGCCCTAATTCAACCAGGAACAATATCAGCTCTCTCTAGGTTAACTGAATTAAGCATTGATGTCAATTCTGATGATGAGCGTTGGAATGCAGTTGTGGAAGCTGTTATAGAGGAAGCCTGCAGCTTGGAAACATTGAAGTGTCTAATCTTGTACCTGCCTAACATTGAGAGTTTGGGAAAACACAGAATGGGCAGCACATCACTGGGTTATTATCCCTTGCAGGAATTCAGGTTTACTATCGGCCAGCATAAACAGCGCACCATCTCTCGAGTACCAAAACAAGTTGAAACTCACTTTCAAAAGTGGAAGAGATGCTTGAAGTTTGTTAAAGGCAAGGAAATCCCAAGTGAGATGAAAAAGGTACTTAAATGCACAAAAGCATTCTACTTGGACCGTCATGACACTGCTACAAGTTTGTGTGATTTTGGGACTGAGAATATGCAGGAGCTAGAATTCTGCTTATTGGTAGAATGTAATGAAATCCAAACCATCATAAGTGGTGTAGAGCCTCTCGAAGAACAAGCTGACGTGTTAGTAAAAGATCCAAACAATTCTGAATCTGGAGGAGGGTTACTTTCTGCTCAAGAACCTGCACTTGTGAATCTACAATACTTGCATATCTTTTACTTGAAGAATTTAGTGAGCATTTGGAGAACCCCTACCAATGATAAGCAGTGTTTAACTGGCTTGAAGTTCCTAGCACTTCATATGTGCCCCAAATTGAGTGTAATTTTCTCTCCAGCTATGCTGGCTAATCTTGGCAAGTTGGAAGTGCTTATTGTTAAAGATTGCCCTGAAGTGACCAGTATAGTGAGCCTAACAAGCAATGAACCCTTTGACACGTCATTTTGTCTTCCCAACTTGAATAGGATATTGCTCCTTCACCTACCAAAATTGATCAGCATTTCTGGCGGAATTTTTATTACAGGAAACCTAAAACAAATAGGCTTTTACAATTGCCCAAAGCTTGAGAGTCTTTCTATTAAAGAAATGTCAAGTCCATTGTTGGAAGTGATTAGAGGAGAAAGAGAGTGGTGGGAGGCTTTGAAGTGGGAGAAATTGGAGTGGGAGAAATTGGAGTGGGAGAAATTGGAGTGGGAGACTTCACTTGATTATATCCGAAGCATTTTCTCCCCTATTACAATGGAAAAAGATGTGATGACACAAATGGAAGAGATTAGTAGAATTCCCTCAAGCCATCAAACAAGAATGGTACTATTCAACTCAAGGAAGTGTTTTATTTTTATTGTTATTTCATCAATATATTTAGGGGTTTCCAATTAACTAGTAAACCTTTCCTCTATTAGGAAGTAAACAAACAAACAGATAACTAGCTTATCTGCATGAATTGATTTCACAAAATACAAGGGCTATTGCTAATGTACTCTAAAACATTTAAAAAGGTTGTCTTGCTGCATTAAATTGTTTGTGTTACAATCTACAGGCATGAAGCATGATTGTTGATTCGGTTCTTATACTAATTATTAGTGATGATTATACCTTTCAACTGCACTGCAGATAGATCCTCTTTACTGTTGGATGGAATCAGCTGGAAAAAGCCCATTGGATTCATCTTTGGATGCATCAGTGATGACATCCTTATGGACAGACGAGTCTTCTGTTTCTGTTGGCAGTGCCAGTGAAATAGCAGACATTGGGTTGGACAAGATGAGCCTGGGGTGTGAGGACGATGGGATGAGCCTGGGGTGTGAGGACAATGGGATGAGCCTGGGGTGTGAGGACAATGGGTTGAACAAGATGAGCCTGGGGTGTTTCTCACTTTCAGACAATTAGCAGATGGCAGTGGCACCAGGGAGCTGATTAGAGTTGAAATCTGGTAATGGAAATTCACCTTGGTTTACACTTTTACTTGAGACCAGATAACTCAACAAAATAATGTTTTTGGAATGAGTGACAGAAGCATAATTATAGAATTCCTTCTCATTTCCTTAACTCTATTCACCCTTTAGCAGAAAGAATCATTCTTGGGATTTCAGAAGATGATTCATCTAACTAAATTCTTAACGCCGTCAATAACTTTTTGATGACTTCCCATTTGATTTGTGCAGCTGTAAAAGATTTGGGGTGGCGCAGACAGAGCAGTGATGGAAAGAAAACAGAGAGCATGTGTAAAATACCGTATCAGAGTCTCAAAAGGCAGAAATTAGCAGCAGTCATCTAAATGCATTTAGGGTGCAGTTGGATGTTCCATCAGAATGCACACATTTAACTTTGTTCCTAAACATGTATGCTAAGAATCCATCCGCTAGAGTGCTGAGATATAAGCCTAGGGATTTTACACAAAATATGCTTTCTGAAAAGTGGTATCCAAAATTGCATTCTTTGAAATTTATGTGATATACCCCAACTACTCAAGTTTGGGACATACTTCTAATTGATGTATCTTATATTATCGTTATTTTTGTTGTTACTTTCCCCGTGATGGTTACAATTCATGTCTCATATTTTGAAAGACTTCATGCCTAATTCATGGGTTTAATTCTGTTTACCATTTTGGTGTCTATAAATTACGAAGTTCGTTGATTTTGTGTTACCAAAATTTGTAGATTGATGTTGATGTCAAATGAGTAAACTGGTGATGTTTTCTGGATTCTAGCAATCCCTTCTGGAATGTGTACAATCAATAGTAGCTCATATACTGTCTTAATTTTTGCAATTATTGACTCGTTAACACCCTTCTACATGCAACAATATCAATTACATGAATATTCATGGTAACATCCTCTTGCAAGTATAGTCCAAAATGTATATCATAATTCATAAGGAATGCAAGT